ATCAGCCTGCTGTATTTTGTCAGATGTGCAACTCTGTGTCTTAGATAACACACTTAATTTCAAGATCATTGGGTACTAGGGTTCAAATTCCATGGCAGACGGCTTCTTTTCATCATCATCAGGTGCCTTGCTGATTGGCATAGGCGAACATGCCTCTCCACGATCTACTGCAGCATGTATTAACTCATGTGCTGACACACCTCCATGCCATGCAACCAGACTGTCAAGAATCTTCTCTCGTTGTCTTCCTATGTCCCTCCTTTCACAGATCTTTCCATTTTTTTTTTAATTACCTGCTCCCCTGGTTTTAAGAACAGTGGTACAAGAGTCAAAATTGGGGTCTCATCTCATAATATTCCCAAAGGCAGCAGTAGGTATGCTAGAGCCAACTTTCACTGTGGAGATGGCACACAATATATGCAAGAATGCCAAGCCCATGAATGAAAATGTTAGTAAGATCAACGAATTACTCTTTGCAGATAACCAGGCCTTGATAGCAGATACAGCCATGAAATTGCAACAACATCTAACATCCATGAATGAAGAATGTAAAACAAATAATATGAGAATCAACACTGAAAAGACAGAAGTAATGTCAATAGGAAAAAAGAAGACAGATCTAAACATAGCAATAGAGAACAAAGGCATTAAACAGGCATCTGAGTTTACATATCTGGGAACTACATTTACCGAAGATGGGAAATTGGATAAAGAAATTAACATTAGATGCAGTAAAGCAAATCAAGTATTGGGACAGCTAGCCCCCCTCTTACAGCATAAGACAATCCCAATCAGCACAAAGAGACATCTTATTCAAAGCATATTTATTCCAACTCTGTGCTACCAGTGCCAGACATGGTCACCCACAACAAACCATAAAAGAAAATTAGTAACCATGGAAATGAGATGTCTGAGAAGGGCTGTAGGAGTGACCATAAGAGCTAAGATCAGGAATGAGAACATAAGAGAAAAAGTTGGCACAGAACCAATTCTAAATTACATACAAAGACAGCAAGTGAAATGGTTTGCCCACTTAGAGAGAATGCCTTGTGACACCATACCATACAAAGCATACATAGAAAGAGAAAAAGGTCATAGAGCAAGAGGTAGACCAAGAACAAGATGGAAGGATAACATCAGAGAAGCTCTACAACAGCATGATGTGCCTATGGTCGAGGCGGCCAGAAGAGCCAGAAACAGAACCTTATATCTCCCTCGACACCCACAGCGGTAAAAGAGGAAGTGAAGAAGAAGAAGAAGAAGATGGCACACAATTTATTTTTATTTGGTCAAACAGGTGCTGTTGCTCTAGTGGGGGCAAGAGCAGATTATTATATGGGCTGAATACTGCTCGTGTCGGCTTTTGTGGTTTACGCAAATGAAAATGCACTTTGTACTTCTGTGGTACCGGTTTAGATCTCAGCTGTGGGCAATATGGCAGCAGACTGCCTTGTGTTAGTTTCAGCAGGCAGTGGTATCGAGTAATGACTGTTTAGCTAGCAACTGTGAGCTACTAAACATAAAAAATGCCTTGTGAAATCACAAAACAGCACACACACAAATGCTGGGGTTTGTTTTGCAGCGTTTTGTAAAAGGATACACAATCTAACTTTAAATTCTTTGAAGAGTGGTCGCCAGTTAACTGGCTTTAGAATTTATCCCGCTGACTGTTCATCAGTATACTGGCGAATCATAGAGACACTTTAATTTTGTTATGTTTGCGGGAAAGAAACAAACTTTAATAAAAATGTTTTTAAAAAAACTAGGATTAGCAAAAACAAGTCCTTTTGTTTGTGAATGTTTAGCGTGGATTTGTCGTCACTTTCTGATTTGTAAAAAATTATTTAGATCTGATACCATTTTTACGTAATTTTTCTATTCCAAATGATAAGGGAAAGGTCTAGAACTGTTCATACCGCTCTGTCATTGATGGCGACAATAGTCTTGTTATTATGACTGATATTCAAATGACAAACCTACTAGCGATAATTTAGTTTAGGATATGAAAACTGAACAAAATATTTCAATTGGATCATCTGTTTTCGGTTGCTGTGAGATCTGACAGGTCATATAAAAATGATCATAAAATCCAAAGTATTTAAATTAACTGTTTCAAATAAAACCTAGCTGATACATAATTGAACAAAAATGGCATGTGAATTCTTAGAATTGAATAGCAGTGTTGTTGAACAAGTGAAAAAGTAAGGTAAGCACAACATTTTGTGTGTAAATAATCTTCATAGCTGTCTAACATCCTTGAATGTTGCGTGATTTTAATAATATTTTGTTGTAATACTGACAGTTAAACAGTTTAGATTTATTCTGCACTCATTTATCTTTAATTTGAATACATTTTATGTCCTGATACTGCAATATGTTTTCTTTAGGAAGGTTTTAACTTTGTCGTGTTGCAGTAAACAAAATTTCCACTCAAAATTAATGCCCAGAAAAATGTAGCCCTGAAAGAGTTAAAGACATCTCGTGGGACAGTTGTCCCCAACCCTCACTCCAGACAATCAGAATGAAGTGAAAATGTTGGCAGTTTAGTTTGTAACAAGCGTCAAATCAACACTTGTAGTATCACTCACTCTACACATAAGAGGTTTCTGGATAAAAGTACTATCACAAGTAAAATCTCTGAGGGCTGTTACCGACACCTCAAAAAGATTCTTTGTTTACAGCAAACATCCAGATATATTACTATTATACATTATACATTTACAACTCTCAATTACAACTGTTAAAAATTTAAACCAGATCTCCCTCCCTCTCTTCAAATAACAATTCATGGCTAATTTTGTTAAGCATACACCAAAACATTACATTACATATTCATCTTTATTATTTAACGGAAACAAAAATTTAAATCTCACACAAAATCTCCCTCTACAATACTAAATTGCTTACTTAGTTTAAAATAGTTTACATTCAAAGATTACTTTAGAAGTTTCACTTTAACATGTGATCGCAACACACAAACCTTTAAAACAAAACTTAAAATTCAAAACAAATATCCAGGTAACTTATGTTCCCTTAACCCTCCCCTACACTCTCTCTCCCTCTCTTTCTCATACACATTTTATTAGCTGATAAAACATAGCTTTTAAAACATAGCGACCATGGAGAGCCAAATGTCTGGCTGCATACAATTAAAAATCATGTACAGAGATCAAGTATATCGTCTTTCTTCAATAATTTAACTAAAACTGCTTTCATCTATTGAGACAAGCATCTATAGCAGAAGCAGCTGAGAATCACACAATATACACAAAAACAACATGTTCAGACAACAACAGAGGTATATATAAGCATCTTGCTGAATACACATGGCACCAAAAGCATCAGCTCATAAACTCAAGAGCAACAGTTTTTTCAGGTCTAGTATAGCTACAGTCTTATTTTAAAACTCTAGTTTTATCAATTATATTCTTATTTGGACAGTTATTTTCAAGTTATCTTCAAAATTGTAATGATGAAATGTATGGAATTAACAACAAGAATGTTACCCAATCATGAGTTATTTGGGTACTACGTTACAAACAACAACACTGCTGTAGGCTCATCATCATGTGCCATGTTAATAAGTCTGTCATGTTTTGCCACGACACGATCACCGGAAACACAGATCAGATCTGTGTTCTTATTTCACCCCATCCATATGGCTAAGCCATTCAGGTATTTATCTCTTTGCCTTCCCCTTGCTCTCTTTCCATCCTTCTTGTCAGCTGTCACCAAGTTCTTCTGGAGTCCAATTTTTCACATAACATGTCCGAAAAATCGACTATGATTTATATTTTCGTGGCAGTTTACAACTTTCATCTGTCTATAGTGTAAGCTAACGATCACAATTTCCAGGGACAAGAGATCCACTTGGTGGCACTATCTCCTGTCTGAGGATACAATAAATATTCCACTGGTTGTCAGTTTTATAACTGGTCATAAAAACCTTTTCTGGGCGGCCCAAGTTCTACCCGACTGTTCTACGGCTGTGTATATGGCTTTCACACAGCAGTTGAAACACCTCAAACTTGAGCTAAACTTGAGTCTGTGAAACGAAAAGAAAGTGCTCTTTCAACAGAGCATACTGATACTGGCTGACGAGATGAAGTATAGATGACAACTCTAAAGGCCAATGCTAGTCCAACCCGGTATATGTTTCAAGGGAATAACAGTAGCCAGAACCTTTCAGAAAGCAATGGCAAACTAGGCGAATGCATACATGCCAAGAAACTAATCATGACACTACTCTTGATATATTAGGTTAAAACACCTTTGACATTTGTAACCCTGTTTCTAAAGGCTAAGTAACTAAAGTAAAGTAAAGGACCCTTTACCACGCCTTTAGGCATATAGGGTTAGACCTACTTTTTTTATAGACCAATCAGCACAAGATGGATGATGTGGTCAGCATCACGCCAGCTGCCTTTACTTCCCGGGACTGCACCCGGTACCCACTCAAGGCTGGGTCAACCTGGGAGCCAAGGTTATTTTTTTTTAAAGTCCGACTCTGCCAGGAAGCGATCTCCCGACCTTCTGATCTGCGGCGAGCGTCTAGCCGCTCCGCCACGGCGACTTCCCTAAAGGCTTAGTATCTGATTTTAATTTACTTCCTGATGACATGGCAGGAATTTTCTTTAACATTTTTCTTCATCCGGAACTGGAACTCTTCGCTTGCTACTGAAGATGGGGACTTAGTGCTTATGGGAGTGTCCCGAGTGCTGTGATGTCAATTCTCAATTCAACATTCTTCATCCGGGTATAAACCTGGTTTAAGTGACAGGAAGATGTCATTCCTCAAAGCCACTCAAATGCCTCATAGTCATAAAGGGATACATAAAACACCACAACCACACACACAAAAATTGGCCTGAAATTCCAACCTCCTGTCCGATAGGATGAAAAAAAAAAATTATATACTAAGCACATCTCAATCATGTGGATTCATATAAAACACAGATTCTCTTTAAAACCATTTAGTAGACATATGGCACCAATTATGACTAGGCCACCAAATTCTGATTCAACAGGCGAATGGAGCGAAGAGCTTTCTTGGCGGCAGCACTCTTGGCAATGCGGTAGTTGCGGCCTACACCACTGAAAACACCTTTCCCAACCACATTAACGGTGACTCGGACTTTGCCATTCATTGTCCTTTCTGGTCGCCTGAAAAGACAGATCAGATTTGAATAATAAATCAAAAAATTAGCAGACAAGTGAAAATTACTGGGTGATTTATTATTTTGAATTGAAAAAAAAAAAATTGACACTGAAATGAGAAAGCGCTCTGACTTTTTTGTTTTCAGAAAACAGTCATATTTTAATTATAAAAAATATATGGCCAGGTAGTATTTTCTGTCTGAGGAATGTAGACCAAGGCTGGCAAAGTCTGCCTGAAGAAAGTGGAATGGGGCTGGCAATGTTATCTGCCTGAAGAAAGTAGAACATTTATGCTTTTGTCATCTATCTAGGAAAATGGAACATGGTTGGCAACGTCATCTGCCTGAAAAAAGTAGAACATGGCTGCCAATATCATCTGCCTGATGAAAGTAGAACAGGGTTGGCAATGCCATCAGCCTGAAAAAAGTAGAACATGGCTGCCAATATCATCTGCCTGATGAAAGTAGAACAGGGTTGGCAATGCCATCTGCCTAATGAAGTGGAACAGGGTTGCCAATGTCATCTACCTAATGAAAGTGGAATGGTTGCCAATGTCATCTGCCTAATGAAGATGGAATGGTTGGCAATGTTATCAGCCTGATGAAAGTCGAACAGGGTTGGCAACATAGGCATTTAGCAGCATGACCTTTCTGGAAAATTCCTAAATTTATTTTATAATTACTGTGAATCTTTGCTCGCACATACTTAATTTGATGGAATACACATTCTGAAATGCACGTAAGAATCTTTTTAAAAACTGGAGAAAAATATCTTAAGGCAGAAGAATCCTACGTTTTTCACTAAGGAAATGGGAGAACCTAAGACCGAAAAGATATGACACCATGATAAAAAATTTTTAAACAATCATGACCACTAGGCGTGGAACAAATGTAAATGAAATATCAGAAATCTGTACTTACTCAAACTTGGCTGTTTCTGGTTCTGTTTCCAACAACTCTCTGACTGGTGACTTTGGTATACTCTTTAAATATTTATCTAGAAGAAAATGACATGCAAATATTAGTGGCCTAAAAAAAATACAAATCAGCAGAGAAACATTACTGTGAGCAATAAATTAGGTATCATTAAGTACAGGACCTCCCTGGGATGTGTTGGGTATATACAGCTAGCTCAATGTTTTAGATTGACTGGTGTAATTTATTGGTGATGTAGTCAATTTGATCATCTACTTTATATTCCAGAACATTTTCTGTTTTAGACTGTCTGGGAAAAGCATGCTGAATTAAGAATTCAATCAAAAATGAAATATGAAAATACTGTCAACAATGCTAATCTCTGTTTAAATCCTCTTCTTCAGCATTCTGAGCCCTAGAGGTTCACTGCTGCAGATATCATCTGCCTCCATTCATCTCTCTGGTTGGCCTTTTCTTTCCAATTGGTGACATCAAGTATTTGTAGTTTTGCCTGGATGTTATCACACCATGGACTTGTTGGTTTGCCTACATTAATTCAACTCTCTTGTAAACATAGTTGTTTCCCTCTCTGTCATCTGTCATTCTCCCAAAATGCCACGGCCATTTCAGTCCCTTAGTCCTTATGACGCCAGTGATCAGTGGTGATTTAAACATATTATGAATTGTGTCTACATATTATAGGAATACAATTAAGAAGGCAGGATAGACTTTGAAATTGTAAAAAATTAAGTAAGAGAAAGGGTTAGAAGCACACATAATTACTCGAGAAATGTATCACCCATGAGTCTGCTACTGAAGCCCAAAAGGAAAGCACTGAGATCCAAAAGGAAAGCACTAAGGCTCAAAAGGAAAGCACTAGGACCCAAAAGGAAAGCATTGAGATCCAAAAGGAAAGCACTAAGGCTCAAAAGGAAAGCACTGAGACCCAAAAGGAAAGCATTGAGACCCAAAAGTAAAGCACTGAGGCCCAAAAGGAAAGCATTAAGATCCAAAAGGAAAGCACTAAGGCTCAAAAGGAAAGCACTGAGGCCCAAAAGGAAAGCACTGAGGCCCAAAAGGAAAGCACTGAGACCCAAAAGGAAAGCACTGATGCTTAAAAGGAAAGCACTCAGGCCTAAAAGGAAAGCACTTGAACACCAATCTCACATTAAGTCTGTATTCCTTTCTCATATTATATGGTCATGCCATAAATATATTTGGTTCTTTTGTAATATTCTACCCCAGATGATGTCACAGGACAGTCAAACATTTTAGAGGGTGGTAAGACTGGGTTTCCCGATTTTCTGATGCTTTCAACAACCCCAAAACATCAAGAACTGGCCCTAACCCCAACCCACCGTCCCACAAGAGATGCAGCCTAGGTCCCATGACTGCATACAGCCTAGGTCCCACGACTGCATGCAGCCTATCTACCACCCCCTGAAATATTAGACTGTCCCATGACCTGTGGATTTCCCATCTGGGGTAGGATATTAGGAAACCACAATATATTTAATTCTTATTTAAATCTTGGTTTCTTCTTGCACTTCCCCCCATCAAGTTTGCCCAGTTATCAAACATTTTTTTTAGGATGGGGGGTCAATCCCCCCCCCCTTTTTTTTTTTCATAAATGAGGCCACAGAACCCACATAGAGTACAAATGCCAAACCTTTCCATGGTATTATTTATATCTTCATCAGAAACAATATTTACACTGCCACTGCATGTTTCCTAACTAGTGTACTTATTATCCATGTTTCCCAAACAAACAACAGTACAGGTTCTATGTTAACGTACAGAACCTTCCATCATGACTCTGGCACAACAGGAATTGAGTGCTAGACCTATATTCTTATAGACTAGTAACACTTGATGGATGATAGTCAATATTGCTTCGGCTGCCTTTACTTTCCAGGGCATTACCCAGTATCCATTTTAGGCCGGATCGACCTGGCAGCCAAGATCAATTTTGAAAAAATGTTTGGACCCTATACCTTCGGGCCAGAAGGTGAGTGTCTAGCCACTTCACCACTGCGGCTCCACAGGTTATATAACCACTATGAATACTTATTAACCCAAGAAATCATGCCTGAAATAGCCAACTGACCTATATGAGGTTTCATCATCCGATAGTAGACCTTCCAGACAGTATCCAGAGACATGCCGCTATCCAAATATATAGCCCCGGCTACAGATTCAAAGATGTCTCCTAAAGCTTTAGGGATTTCCATCTCCACTTCTTCATCATCATCATCTTCCTCGTTAGCATCTTCTGGCTCAGGCTCTTCCAAGGACAGCTCACGATACTGTAAGTAAAGGGAGAAAAGAATATAACTTCAAATTCTATTGTCAACACACGTAACTCATTCTATGATAACTAAATCTCTAAATAACCTAAAAGTGTCTGTCATTACTGCTAGTATTTATTTCTCCTTTTGTGGTGTAGGCAGAGCGGTCTTTGAGCCTGAGGATACAGAATCACAGGGCTAGTGCTGTCGCAATGCTAGTCAGGATGTTAACAAGAACGGACCCACAGACTACCTAAAAGCATATCGTAAGAGTCAACTAACTGGGAGCTTCCTTTGCAGTCAGAATGCATCTATCTCAGAGGCACGGACCCAACAGTCTGCATAAAAATGTGTCAGATCTGTAAAACAGATGTGCATGCAACACTCTGGTTCTGGAACAGAAGTGGAGGAACAACAAGAACCTTTTGCCGAAGTTTACAACCGGTCAACATGAAGGAGGAGGAGAATGGATGGCTTGTGTGGTGAACTGGATGTCAATGAGAACTGTGCATCACTCTCTCACCTGAATCCATCTTCAGTGGAAAGAAGTGTATGAAGTACACATCTGATCTCTCTATGGATGTCCTATTTATTATTAAACTTAAGAGTCAAAATAAGGATCAAGGAAAAGAAGAAAGAAGAGAAGATGAAGAAGAATACTTACAATTTCTACTTCAAAAAAATACTGCAATTTTCTTGGGAAGGGAAACGTTTAACATATTGTGAGTATCAACACCCACCTACTTAGGACAGGAGATTACTTCATAACTATACTGTACCCTAATATGACTGTTTTATTCAGTTCAACAAAGTTTCTGAGATTTGCCCTGACAGATCCAAATATGGCTCTTTGAGTCACCAGATGTCAATCGTTCAGGCTGCAATCCCAGAAGGATTTGTTTAAATTTTAATATTGTGAGTTTCCTGATATAGAACAATTACACATAAACTAGAAGTAACTAGCAGCTGTCTTCTTCTTCTTCTTCGTGTATAGTGTTCACCAGCTGTAAACTCCAATGGCAGACCTGGTTGTTCATCCACTTCTGGATTTTGGTCTTGTTCCAGAACCTGAGCTTTGCATGCGCATCAGTTTTACAGATTTGGCTTACTTGTATGCAGATTTGAGTTCCTTCCCTTTCAGGGAGATGCACTTTGATGGAAACGCCCCTAATTAACCGTGTTTTTCGACACACTAATTGGGGTGGGGGTTCCTGTTAAACTCCCTCAAGGGACCGCTGTGTTCAAAGGATGATAATTCTATAAATGTAAAGAGCTAGACATTATCGTTTTTAACAAAATTCTAAAATAAGAATGCAGCACTAACCTCCTCATCGATATCAATGTCATCTTGGTTTTTCTCTTTCTGCCTCTTCACAAATTTGTCAATTACTTGGAACAACGATGGAGAGATGGCCTTGAAGTATCTATGAAAGCCCCACTTGACAGCCAGAGCAGCAAAAATGTTGTTGTTGACCAGCGCTGACCTCAGGTCAGTCAATATGCCGGGCGAGTATTTCTTGGAGTCCTCATACAAGTGTCTTGTGATCACATAGTCAAGAATAGCATCTCCCAGGAACTCAATTCTATAGAAAAACACACAAAAACTCAACACAAAGAGAAGATGTTTCTGTGTGTATATTTCGTTGTTTAATTTGGTTGACCTATACATAAATGTGTGTCTGTATATGATAACTTATATATGTGTGTGCATATATATATTTCTATGTATATATATATATAAATATATATCTATGTATATATGCATACATACACACACAGGGGGGGGGGGGAGAGAGAGAGAGAGAGAGAGAGAGAGAGAGAGAGACAGAGAGAGAGAGAGAGAGAGAGACAGAGAGAGACCCACAAGTTGTAAAAGAAGAAAACAGGGCTCTTGCCTTGACTAGAAGTAATCTGACTATACAGGTGATGGTGGTAACAAAAGCAATGATGTGGCTAGAGACACAGCAGTTTTCCCAGGCGTGCTTTCTAAGTGATTCCATGAGCATGCTTAAGAAAACGGAGGGAGGATGGATTAAAAAAAAATGGTTGGAGATGCAAAACTCATAATCTGGATCAAGGCCAAAGTCCAGGAGTGGACAAACAACCAGAACTGTTTGCTGGAGTTAACAGCAGGTGAAGGCTAAGAACTCAAAAACAAATTTTATGTTTTCCTTCAGAAACTTCACGTCAACTGTCATGTTTCTCAGCAGTTCTGCTTATTGTCCATATGTCTCATACATACAGCAGCGCAGGTTCTATACATGACCTAACAGAACTGTTTGCTGGAGTTAACAGCAGGTGAAGGCTAAGAACTCAAAAAAAAAATGTTATGTTTTCCTTCAGAAACTTCACGTCAACTGTCATGTTTCTCAGCAGTTCTGCTTATTGTCCATATGTCTCATATATCAGGGTTCATAGCCAAATTTACCAATCAATTTCAAGGCTTTTCGAGGTCTTTTTTAAGGTCTCCTTAGTTTTTTTCAAGGTTGTCTCGGTGTAATACTGAAACAAGATTTTTGCCTTGTTCAAGGGTGTACTGAGCACACAAGGTACTTCATTTGTGCCACATGTGTTGGTATACCAGCACAGATATCATCATCATGTAGCATTTCCTTTGTCCTGACAAAAAAACCTCGGTCTCTCACCAGCTCTCCCGCCTCATGTACTTTTTTATATTCAAGGAGTCACTTATATCCTGTGCCCATCTTCGTGCTGGTCGGCCCCTGAGCTTGATATAGTGTTTGAAATTTGTTTTAGGGCTTGGTGGTAGAGGGCAGCAAACTGAAGTCCTGTCTGTTCTGGACCTGGTACCTGAGAGGGTTAGGGGAGAGAGAGAGAGTCATGAAGAGAGAGGAAGACACATGCTGAGGTAGGCTGGGAGAGACAGTGTAAAGATGGACAGATGAAGGTAGAGAAAAGAAGGAAAAGAAGTCTGGGGAAGGAGGAAAAAATGAGAGGGAGGGGTGGAGACATGATGAGGAAAAGTGGGGAAGGAACAGCAAAAGACAGAGAGGGAGACAAATACAGAAAGAGGGAATGCAGATACAGAGATGGGCAGATGAAAAGAGAAGAAAAAAGGGAACGAAATAGAGATATGGAAGGAGGAAAATATGACAAAGAGTTGAAAGAAGAGAGACAGAGGGAGAGAGAACGGACAGGGTGAGAAGCAGATGCAAGCAGAGAGAGATGTAGACATAAAGGAGAGAGAGAGACAAAAGGACAGCACAGAGAGGCAAGCAGACAGAGGGAGAGAACCAAAGAAAGAGAAAAAAAGGCAGAGCAGGAGAATGGGAGGGAGGTATACAAAGAGGAAGTGATGAAGGGAGGCAAACAGACATAAAGCAAGAGAGAGAAAGAGGTGGGTAAGGAAGGCAGTGACAAACACAGATTAAGAGAGTGGGGCAGGAAGGGAGACAAGATACATCAAAGAAAAAAAACAGCCACCTACTCCCCCCCCCCCACACACAATTTCAAGTGTAGTGGACACAACCACTAGGAAAAGATAGTTATGGGGCAAACAAATACGTAGATGAACCAGTAAAAAAAATTATGGGGGGGGGGGGGGGGGGGGGGGGGGGAAGAGAATGAGAGAGGGGAGCGGGTAAGGAAATCTAGAGAAAATGAAAAGACAGGATGGAGAGGAGACAAAGAAGAGATGGGACAGGAGAAAGGGCAAGGAAAGGAAGAGAAGAAGAATGGAGAGAGAAAGGAGAATAGTAGAAGATCAAAGGAAAGAGAAGGGGTGAGAGAAGAAAGGTAAGACACGGTTGTGGGGGGGGGGGGGGGGGGTGTAAGAACAATGAGTGCCAAAAATAGAATTAGGAAATCTCTAAGTGAGGCCACTTTTCCGGTTCCTACCCTCTCCCAATGTGAATGTGGCCGTGGTCCAAAAACAACAGTGCTAACCCCTACTGCCCCTTGCTTGTCCTATCTGTGTGTGACAACAATAATTCAATTTCTTACACTTAAGGCTGGTGACCTGAGAGCCAAGGTCATTTTATGAAGAAAAAAAAAGTCCAGGGGATCCCAACCCACCACTGATGGAAAATAGAGAAGTTTACCCACACACATAAATAGGTCAGACACATAAATAGGTCAGGGCAGCAGTGGACTTCCTTTTATTTCTGGTTTTCCAATTACAGAAAGGAGGGGAGAGAGGAGGTGGTGGAAAGTGGTGTAGAAGGCTGAGGTGGTAAGGGTGAGACAGAGGAGGTGAGAGAATAAAGTTTAAGAAAATAAAGTGGGAATGAGACAGGGAGAGAAAGAAGGGAGTAAGAAATAAGATGAGATATAGAGGGAAGAAGGTAGCAGGAAGGGGTGCACTCCCTCCCCTAGGTGTCATCAATGTGGGAGGAGAAAAGGGGGGGGGGGGGGTGACGGCAAATGTGTTTTTAAAAGTACACATATATTTAATGTGTGGGAGGGGGAATGGTGGACATGAAATGTTCTGCACTAGGCAACACATAACCTTCTACACCAACTGAAGGTATGGAGAAAGAAAGAGAGAGAGAGAGAGAGAGGGAGGGAGTGAGGGAGAGTGGCAAATACAAATAGAAAGAAGAAAGCAGTGACACAGACAGGCAGAGAGTGAGGAACAGGTAGGACAAAATGTGAGGGGGCGGGAAGGGAGATGGACAGAGATTAAGGCCGCTAGGAAAACAAACACATCAAAAGAAAATATCCACCATGTTCACACAGAATGCCCCCCCCCCCCCCTCCAATACAACTTCCTGTGTACTTGAGTTGCTAGGAAGAGTTATGGAGCCGCACATTTACTAAACAATTAAACAAGAAATAAAATAGGAAAAAGGGGGAGGGGGGACAGGAAATGAGAGAGTAAAAGGAAAGATAGAGAGAAAGAGAAGAAGATGAAGATCAGAAGGGAGGGTTAGAGACAATGCAGGAGACGGGAAGGAAGGAGCAATAGGTAGAAGAGTGAAAGAGGGAGGGAAGAGAGAGAGAGGGGTGAGACAACAGAAGAGGGAATCTCGGGGAATTACAATACTGATGGCCAAACACACTGTAAAGATAAATCCAGGCCAAAAATAGAACTGGGAAATCCAGCTGCAGTCACTTTGCTTAGCCCCAATGCCATCTCTAATTAATAGAAAAGGCCGAGCTTAGCCCCACCACGGCGACTCTATTTATAAATACAACTGAACCGAGCCCCACCATCTCCCAATGTAATCCTTTCTAGAAACCACGGCCATAAACGATTTAAACTGTTCATTCTGCCCGACTTGATTCTGCCCGACTTGCTAGAAACAAAGGCACACACACACACATGCGAGACGGAAGCTGCTCCTTCCCGCCCCATGCTACACTGCTGCTGTCTGCATGTATTCATGATCTGTAACAAAGCCCGCCCTCCCCTGGCCTTTAACAAGCCATTTCGGCTGAAAATAGCCAATAATCAGCTGCCCTCACACCTTAAACGACCATACAACGAAAGTAGCCAAAAACTAGCCAAATGGCCAAAAAAGCCAAATGGCTCCACCAAAATTGCCTGTGCTGAAAAACACAGGATTTCTGATGATTTCATTGCCGCGGTCAAAATTCACGGCTTTTCAAGGTCGTAATGTCTTTTATAAGCTAAAAATCCCGGTTTAAGGTCAACGAAAAAAATCCCGGTAATTTCCCGATTTCCTACGAACCCTGATATATACAGCAGCGCAGGTTCTATACATGACCTAACATCTGTTCTCATTCTGTGCTATGATCTTGTAACAACACAAAACACTTACCGCTGATAGCAGTCTGTGATGGTGTTGTAGTGGTAAGAAGCATGAGTGAAAGCCTGCAGAAGATAGGATCTGTCCCTGAACTTGTAGTTGATCTTTTCTTCTAAAGCATCAAAGCCCTCCAGCAGGTGTTCCAGCTGGGCTATGTTCTGCGGAGTTGGGGAGAACATTGGAGAAGGAGGACACTGAAGCTCATCAAACTCCTGCTCTGAAACCTTCAAAAAAGAACAAAACAATTGTTAGCTTCATAAATCAACAAGCATCCCCCCCCCCCCCACAACTCAGTTATGAAATTACTTTTTTCTGCATTAAAGCTTAAAAGGGTAACTAGAATGCTGTGTTGTAGTTTACAGAAAGCTAGTGTTATATGTGCCTTTGGAGCCCCACAAATCCCTAATTAGTAACCTTTTCACACATGTTTGTTAAGGGGTTATGGGTCAGTCCCCCCCCCCCCCCCCCCCCACCTCAAATGGTGCTCCAGAATCCACACAGGGAAGTAACTTGACATAAAAACAGAGCGTAAACATGAATCAAGTCACCTTATCTGTCATTGCATGTTATAGTAATTTCACACATCCTCCACTTGTTAGTCGATAACTGATAATTCCATGTTTTATTCTCCTTCTTATAGTCCATGTTGTGTGCCATCAGTAGTTATATTGTCCACAACCTTCTGTCTCAAGTACTTTCAATCATTTCTGACACAAATTCATCCTCCATGTCATGATGTCAAACTCTCCAGTATCTTCTTTCTGTCTCCTTCTGCCTCTTTTCTCCTCACTCTCCCACCATTATGATGTTCTCCAATTGTTCCTTCTCATGACAGGATCACACAACACAGATTGCCTCCTTCTGATGTGGGTAATTAGTTCTTTTTGGTGTTACTTCTATTGTTTAACAACATGCTTTATTAATCTATTATATCTGCTTTCTCAGTCTTGTCAACTGATGTCCAAAAGAGTTGGAAATTCCATTTCTGCACTTACTTCCCTAGTCAGGGTAATAGTTTGAATGTTCATCATCTATATTAACACCTCTTCCACATGTGGGTTCTGGGGCCCCACCGTGGGGAACAAAAAGAACAGACCCACTGCCCCTAACAGACCCACTGCCCCTAACAGACCCACTGCCCCTAACAAGTATGTTTTAAAAGCTGACTAATTAGGGATGTTTCCTTCAAAGTCAGAGTACGTCTTCCTTAGAGGCGAGGAACCAACCGTCTGCATACAATTAAGCCGGATGTGTAAAACCAATGTACATGCAAAGCTCAGTCTCTGGACCAAGATTTTAAGTCCAGAAGTGGATGAACAACTAGAACTCCCACTAGTGAATGTGAAGAAGAAGAAGGAGATTAACCCACCTGTTATACTATTGTCTGTCTAGAGTCTGCCTTTGCTTATGTTTAATGAGTATTTGCAGCCTACTTCTTCAGAATAAACAATTATTAATAACTTTTTTTGTTGTTGCTACTTAGAATGTAGGCATAACTATTACTTTGTTGTCATCAAAACAGCAAGGCACTGATCTGGTTGCTGACTACTTATGCAGTCTATTTTTGGTGCCTACAGTGAGCCCTGAAGAACATGAAAAACAGTTATAAATATCTGCTTTTACAGTGTTTTGCAAGGCTTTACATTTATGGCATCTGTGACTTTAGGTGCTACGAAAGTACCTGCTTCAATACCAGCTGCACATGATACAGCAGCAGACAGCTTTGCATTGATTACAACAACGGTATCAAGAGTTGACTGTTAATAATGCAATGGTAAACTAATGAATGTGAAATTTCCTAGTAAAACCAAAACAGCTAATAAATGCTGAGGTTGGTTCTGCAACATCCTATAAAGAATACACAACTAACTTAATTTACCATTAATGTATAGTTACAGATAGTTGTGACATCAAACAGTTGTGACATCAAATAGTTTGACATCAAAGAACAACAAATGAAGTGGGTTGGACACCTAACAAGAATGCCCTGGTACTATCTGCTACACTGAAACGTTACAACAGGTAGTGAGCAAGCGGAAGACCTTGGAAAATATGGAGTGATGGCATTAAGAACAGCCTTACAGAAATCAACATCGGTCTTAATAGTGCTCTTGACAGAGCTCATCAACAAATGTTACATCTGAGGTACAAGGTGGAAGAGAAGAAGAAGAAGAAGAATGTATAGTTATCTACCTTCCATGAACTGCCTCTGTCTGTGCAGGGTTCAGTGCACAAATCCTCAATGGGTTCTCTATCTTTCTTAGGCAAGACCTTCAAACCAAGCCAGGACATAAACATGAGGGCAGCTTTTCTTCCACATGTAGTCAAATAGCATCCAATAAGGGCTTCCACACAGTCAGCAACACTCTTGTCTGGCAGTCCATGGTGGCGCTGCAGGCTGTATGGCACCAAAGATAATCGACCGGGCTCCTCCAGATCATCCAGCTGGTCTGCTTCTTGACTTTTCTGAATCCACTCTAGCTCCTTGTTGAACAGAACAGCTTCATCCCGCCTGGCTGTGAGACACATGATCAACAATGAGCATTACAACACCTATTTATTAAACAATCAATCAGCTTTCAAAAGCAAAAGTCTAAGATGATAGAGTCCTATCTCAATATACCCTGCTTTACTTCATGACTGTCTAAGACAGTGGCTCTCAGCCTTCCTAATGCCGTGATCCTTTAATACAGTTTCCTCATGTTGTGGCAAACCCTAAACATTTATTTTCCTTCATAACTTTACTGAATATGTGTTTTCCTATGTCCTATGGTCTTAGGTGACCCCTGTGAGAGAGTCTTTCGACCTAAAAAAAGAGGGTCGCGACCAGCAGGTTAAGAAAAGCCGGTCTAAGGGATGATATGTCCAGAAAGAACAATCAGCTTCACTAAGCCTGGGTGCCTTTTACTTTCCATGCCATACTTCCAAAATTTTAAAAACTTAAAAAAAAAAACAAAAAAAAAACTAGTTTTACTGAGCCTAAGATTAAATTTTTTCGCAACCCCTTCCACCTTTCTCTGAAAAATCAGTTCCACTGAGCATGATCTTATTTTTTCTAGAGATGATATGTCCAGACAGAACAATCAGATTTTTTAATTTGCTGTAATCTTTTCCTTTAAAAATAACACACACTAGCCTATAATGTCTGGGGGATGAACTCCATATGGAACTTAGGTACCTATATTCTCCAAGATGCTTGGTGCATGTTTTGAAAATGTAACTTAATGATGTCTCCAAGTGTTTTTAGGCTAACAATTCCCATTCTGTTCTGGCTGAAATGACAGATGGCTCCTGCATGGTTTCAGTCTGTTCAGTGAAAATCTTACAGCATTTAGTCTCTTGTATGGCATGCCTCGTGGTCTACTCCAATTCTACTCTATTGTGGCGGCTTTTTTTCCCATTTTTTAAATTTTCACTGGCTAACAAACAACAGAACTCACATATACCATCAGATTCATTCAGGTAAACACATGGGCAAAATAGATGTGATCTTTATTTCACCTGCAAATAACAAAGCTTCTCACCTGCATCAGCAGACTCATCTAAATAGAAATTTCGGGATGCACTTGTGACTTTAGACCCAGGTGTCACAATAACCACTTTAGGAACTGGTCCACGTCTGCGATCCTCATTGATGACATACCCTGGTGGCAGCCAATTTTCATAAGGCTCAAACTTAGTGGACACCATACTTTCAGCCAGGCATTTGCGACGGCCCAAACGGTAAAGATTATAGTTGCTTACCTGTTTGTAGTACATTTTAAAAATATATTAATAAGTGAGTAAATTAATAGTTTACTGTGTAAAAGTTTATAAACATAATGAAACATATGGACGAAGCAAACTTTTCAATTAAAATTCCAATAAAGATAGCAGAATATAGATAATATCTGAGATTCACCTTTCTTATTCTTCTCCCTTGTTCGGGTCATGTAATTGCTTTTTTTTGGCCAACACATCCAACTTCACTGAGCATTTGTTGGCAGGTAACCTTCCCGGACATTACCTTTCAACTTCAGAATTTTCTTAAAGTATCTAATAATTAGTAATTAACGTTAGAAACAAAAATAAAGGAATGTAAAATAACATGGGATGCTATGGGCAGAAAAGCAGCAATGAAGATGCCTAGTGAATGCTTTATGTGACAACAGCCACATAAAAAGGATATAGATGATCGGAACGACATACCTGCTTGATTTAAAATCTGCTACCCCTGAGGACTGTACTGAGATAACTATTCGTAAACAAGCACACTAGAATTAAATCTGACAGCATCAAAAATGTGAAGCTTCGGAACAAAAACAAAATTTTAGTGAATCTGGAGGTTTGGAATGACACTGGTGTTGGATCGGATTCTGACTGAGAAAAAATGGCAGCAATATAACTGGAATGTCCCTACAGTGGAACCAACAACGTGAAAGGAATAAAGACAGACTAACAATAACATGGGGAAGAGAATTAGAAAAATTGAGTGAAATCAAGATGGAGAAGACTGCAGGCGATTGCAAAGTTTGCTGAGGTATATTCCCATTTCGGGGCCCATTGTGACCCCCCAAAATAAATCCACAAAGGCCCCCCCCCCCCCTTACCTCCAACAAGCACATCACAAAAGTCAACTAAGTAGGGATGCTTCCTTCGAAGTCAAAGTGTTTCTGCCTGAGAGGCAAGGAACCAAGTCTGCATACAAAAAAAACCAGATGGGTAAAACAGATGTGCATGTAAAACTCAGATTCTGGAAGAAGAATGAAATCCAGAAGTGGACAAACAAAAAGAACTTTCCGCCCTAGTTTACAGCTGGTCAACAGAAAGAGAGAGAAATATATACAATATTACAACTTAAGTACTGTAAAGTAGACAATTCTTTTCCACACCTTCAGGCATGTTGTTCCAAATTTTTAGTGATCCAACAAGCGCTCGTGCAAGCCACCTCTATTTCCCAGAAAAAATTCTGGAACCCACTAAGACTGGACTGACATGCAGTTCCATGTTAATTTTAATAAACATCCAAGGGAAATTCAGCACATGCCTTAGTGACTGCACTACAATGGCATGTGCAAAAGTTTGAAGAGTAAGAATACAATGGTCAAAGGTTTCTAACAGAAAACAGGTTCTACAAGAAAATTTTGAGGTTATAGCTGACATGGAGTTCAAGGTGGTGTAGCAGCTAGACGCTCGCCTGTGGATCTGAAGGTCATGGGTTCAAAACCAAACACAATCTTTTTTCTAAAATGACCTTAGCTCCCAGGTCATCCCAGCTTTAAATGTGTATAAGGTAAAGTCCAGGGAAGTAAAGGGAGGCTAACGTGATGTTGACCACCGAGTGTTCATTGGTCTACAAAATACAGGACAGGTCTAGCCATATATTCCCTACACGCTCAAAGGAGTGGAAAAATTTCCTTTACTTTAAGACTCCCAGGTAAAACCAGCCTAAAATGGGTATCAGGAAACAGGAACAAATCTTGAGATAAAAGTGGCCCTCGTGATGTTTGCCACATCCCTGACCAAATGCTGACTGGTCTACACAAATACTGATCTGGCACCTTATGCCTGATGTAGCAATGATATGGAGGGGAAAAGCCTCTTTCACTCCCAGATCGTTTCAAAGTAGAAACACAATTTGGCACAATAATCACAGCAGAAAAAGCAATCAGTGTATAACTTTCAAAGATACAGCATATACACTGCTGCATTTAAAATATTTGCCCAGATTTCTTTTGCAAACTCAGACCAAACATAAAATAAATAATAAAACGCCAAGAGCTGTGTATGAAACACATATGAGCACATATGGTGTGTTGCTGGGATAGAGAGAGAGCCAAAAGAAAAAGGAGAAAGAAAACAGAGAAAAGAACGTAGGTATAAGTGTTACCTGTTTACTGCGGAGATAGCTCAGCTTGCCCTCATGTATTCCTGGGTAGCAACAGTACAGATACACTGTTATGGCATACTTCAGGAAGGAGTCTCCGATGGTCTCCAGTCTCTCAAGACTAAAAAAATCATTTGAGTTAGACATGGTGAGTGCTTGCATGATGAGACATGGGCTGGGGCCGAGGAAGGTTTCCAGATCTCTGTCCGCATCTAAACTAACGTTCTGCTCTAGTCCGTCAGCTGACTGTGAAGATGATCCTACGTTAACATTCTGCGATGACTGGCCTTGAAGGAAAACTGTGTTCTCTAAACGACATCTGTCTTGTAGTTGCCGATTTTGTCTGCTCCATACACCAATTTCAAATTCAGCATAATTGCATTCTGCTGCATGCATGTCGGATAAATGATCAGTCTTTGGAGTACTGTCTACAGATGAAGACAAAGATGGTGCACTATTTTCTTCATCCACATTCATTTGTGCTTCTACATTTGTCTGTTTGCATGTGTCTTTTGTCTCAGACATCCAGGTTTCAACATTGAAATCCTTCTTGGTGTTCCCATTTTCTAAAGTGTCTGTGGCAAATGAGAATTTTATTATATCATCATCTGTCTTGCTACAGGAGTCAGGAGGATACAGTGTCTCAGATTCTTCTGTTGTACTTTGTTTTGATTCTGATGCATAATCATTCTCAGGGCATTTAGAGAACATCTCACTGCCGACAAAATCTCGGACATTACTTTCACAACTGCTTTCCCACGAGCCAATGTCATTCTGCAGATGTTCTTTGCGACTACATTTTGTACCCCATTCATCATGTTCAGACAAATGGAATGTTTCAGAAGTGTCTGCCTGGGGAATGATGAGATCTATATCTAAGCCAATCAACTCTTGGCCGAGTGTGTTCATAATAATCGATGAATTAACACCGCCCCCTTTCTCAGATGGAGATGGTACTGGCCGTGCTGGTTCTGATTTGATATGATGTGTGAGATTTATCCCGTTTGGAGTAACTCTAGGGTTTTTATGATGTTCACGATCATTAACTACTGTGCAGAATTGTTTTTCTACAGCCTGTTCTTCTGTCTTTAACTGATCTTCAGGGCTGAAGTTTGTGTTGCTGGTTGTGTGAACAGAGCACTGACATGAGATCAAACAATGTGTCTGCCTGCTGGCAGCGCCAGTATCTGTCATTTTGTGAGCAGATGTGTTGTGAACACATAGGTGGTTGAGAATCGAAGCAATGTTATCTTGCTTGCAAGTGGAATCATGTATTCCACAAGTATCACAGATATTTGTTTCATGAGCGTTCTTCAGGTGTAGTTCTTGAAGTAAGGCAGGGGATGTGTCAAGACTTGTTAAAAAATCACAACCTTTAGTATTATGAAGCTCAGTCATGGAGTTGCTGCAGTTTTCATTGACTATTTCCTGATGTCGAGCTTCAGTTGATGCTGCTGATGGAGACGTTGGCTTGGGTACACAGCTGCTCACACAGTCATCAGCTACTTTCAGTTCTGGCACAAGTTTTGATACAAATGATCTTTTCATAGAAGGTGATATGGATGGCTGTCCACACTGTATGTCTGCCCCTCCTGTTCCTTCAATTTCAATACTGGCAGCACTTTGTGATACTGTACCAGAATCTGACAATGAACATGTTTTCAATGGAACAGATGCATGCAAACATGTGGTTGAGGCTGATGGCTGAGTTGAAGGGGAGGTGGAACAAGGCCTCGAGACTGCTGCATTGGTTGTAGCACCAGGAAGATCACCAATTGCAATCAGTGCATTCCTGACAATAGAAAAACGGGTGCTCACATATGCATCAGCAGCAGTAGAAATAATACTTTCATTAGTAAAAGTGTTTTCCTCCGAAATATTCTTGTCATAGATATTTGATTTCCATGCTGATGAAACAGAACTGCATGATATTCCAGATGAGGATGATGATAAGGATGTAGAAGTGGTGGCAACAATACAATGCTCAGAGTTTATCACAGAGGAGGTAGATGTGGTGCTGCTTTCGCCATCTGGCTGCCCATTCAAATAAGAATTACAGAGAGGCTTGGCCGTCTCATTTGTATAAATAATATTGCATTGATTAAAACCATTTCCACAAGTGCTGGAAATGGAGCTACCTTGAGATGTAATATTGCATATATGGTTACTGCTTGAGCATGGCTGGGTCTGGTTAGAATCACCGGAGTCAAATGATGGAATATTGGGACACTGTGAGACCTTAGTATCCAATTTTGTTAAGCCGCTCCTGGTCCTTGACTCACAGGGGACAGCTTCTGACAAGTCTGGAGAGCCTCTAGTTGTTGTGTTTTTAGAAGCTCTGATGTTGGTATCCGAACCTGAAGATGCAATGCCAGAGTCACTATCAGATGAAGAAGTTGAGTCTGCTTTTTCATCAGAAGTAAAAACTCCACTGGCTGTTGGCTTAATTTCTACATAAACTGTTTCTGGTTTATCTTGTTTCAAAGAAGAGATCCCCTCCTGCTGTTCATGCTTGAGATTTTGCAACACATCTGCTGCTGGGAACATACTTGCTCCCTCAGTATGGCACACACTTTCAGGCTGTTCACAACTTTTTTTTCTGACATCAGATAATGAGGATTGATGAGACTTATGGCTACTAATTAATTCTGCTTCTTTTATGGTTTCTTGACTAGTCTCCAATGCAACATCTAATGTAGAAAGTCTAACATCTTTAGATTTTTCAAAGCTGTCGTTCCTGACATCAGGTGATAAGGCTCGGTCAGATTTTTTGCAACTAACTAACTCTGCTTCTTTCAATTTTTCTGGACTAGTCTCAAATCCAAAGTCCAGTTTAGGATAAGTAACGTGCTCAGATTTGTGAAAACTGTCATTTGAGACATCAGGTGGTGAGGATTGGTCACACTGCTTCACACTAATCAACTCTGCTTCTTTTAATTTTTCTGGACTAGTTTCAAACCCAAAGTCTAATTTAGGAAAACTAAAGCCCTTAGGCAGTTTCTCAACACCAATTCCTGTTTCCCTTGATATTTTACAGCGCAGTTCTTCAGCAAGAAGCAGGTTGTTAACACGATATAAGACTGCTGGCAGACAGACAGCCTTGCGCCATAAGGATGCAGGAAATACATGTATATCGCACAGCTCAGGTACAAGGATCTGTTTCTGCTGAAGGTTTTCCCGCCGGGCTCTTTTGGTCTCTGCACTGCTGGTTGGCAAGGGTACACCCTTCTGGTTCATGTACCTGCAATCAAGAGTTAACTTGTTACACTGGCTATAAAATTACATTGTATTTACTCTGCAACAACCCAGCAATATCAATCAGGAAACACCCCAAGATCACTGAAAAAGCATGAAAATTTAAATTATAAGTACTCATCGGCACTCACAGAAGCCAAGGGAAGAAGCAGAGAAAGTTGTTGTTGTTGTTTAGTATCTCAAGTGGGTTCAGGGGGTCAAATTTTTGGAGGGAAAATCAGAAGAGATTGAGTCTCCTCTTAACAAGTTTTCAGTAAATAGGGGTTAGCTGAAATCGATGAGTTCGGCTGAAAGAGGCAGATATTGCAGCCTTGCTATAAACCACAACACAGTGCGTGGAGCATTTTAAGAGTGACCGCAAAAGTATTGCTTAGTAGGTTAATCTATCTATTGTACCACGTAAGACAGTTTATTCTTCAAGGGTATGAACCAACAAGCTGAGTGAGTGCATTAATCACTCTGCCTCCTAGACTTCAGAAAAAAATATTCAGTCTCTATGGTGAGGTGAGCAAGTTGTTTGCCTCATACTCTGAATGTCGTGGGTTCACAGGCTGTAGCATTTTATTCACGTGAAATTTCTTTTCGGAGATCATTGCCAGAGCTACTCAGTAGGTGCTTTGTGTGAGGCTCTTCGTGGCAGGTGGCTTGCCGGTGCAATGAAGCGGATCCTCTTGACTTTAACTGTGTAATCTTACACTTTAATTGTAAAATCTTACACTTTTAACTGTATAATCTCACACTTTGACTGTATAATCATACATTTTGAGTATATATTATTACACTTTGACTGTATAATCTTACACTTTGACTGTATAATCTTACACTTTGTATAATCATACATTTTGAGTGTATGATCTCACACTTTGACTGTATAGTCTCAAACTTTAACTGTATAATCTTACACTTTGACTGTACAATCTTACATTTTGAGTGTATAATCTTACACTTTGACTGTATAATCTCAAACTTTAACTGTATAATCTTCCACTTTGACTGTATAATCTTAAACTTTAACTGTATAATCTTAAACTCTGACTGTATCATCTTACACTCTGACTGTATAAAGTTACATTTTGATTGTATAATCTCAAACTTTAACTGTATAAACTTACACTTTGAAATTATATTCTTACACTATGACTGTATAATCTCAAACTTTAACTGTATAATCTTAAACTTTAACTGTATAATCTTACATTAAGTCAAGACCACTCAAATAAAATCAATGTTAGAGGCCTAGCTCACCTTGGTGTAAGGAGATTCAGCCTGGCTGAAGTGTGATCAACGTCTAGCAGGGGCTGCTCTGTGTTGGTAATCACAAGCCCATACTTCATGGTGTAATAATCCTATTGGACAATGCATGATAAAACTCACTGACATGAATTATGAAAAAATATCAATCCAAACAAGGAGAACTATGAATGTTGAGGCTGGAAAGCCTGCATCAGAAGCAGACAGCACAATCATACAATTATACTGGGTTTTTTTTAAAATGAAGCACACAATTATCTAATGACACAGTTCCCCCCCCCCCCCCCCCAAAAAAAATGAAAATTTTTTTTAAATATTAGTTGACGGAAAGCTTGTACACTTAAGAACTATCAATGATCCAGATGCAAAAGAATGCCAACTGACTGGTTCAACCCTAAGCGGATGAACAACAAAAACTTTCCACCCGAGTTTACAGATAAAAAAAAGCAAAAGAAGAGGTATAGCAAAAGACACAGACTGCAATTCAAGAACATAGGTTCACCACCATGGGACATCTGTGAATTTCTGGTTTTTTGTCTGCAGTGTAATTCTTCAAAATCAGAACAGCTACCAACCGAAAATTTATATTATTTAATTAATTTGAATGTTGAATTAGCAATCAACATCACAGCACTCGGGACACTCCCATAAGTGCTCAGTCTTCATCTTCAGCAGCAAGCGAAGAGTTCCGATTCCGATGGTACCAGTAACTGCCTTGATTGTATATCCGTCTCATCCTTCCCCTGAATGTCGAGCGTCGGCCAGATCCCCTGGTAACTCCTTGCAGTGCCATTCTCCTTAGACCGTAAGGATCTATCTGCACCTCCGCACTGTTCACTCACTCCTAAAGGGCCCTCACAATATCTAACTTGTCATACATCAATTCACCACCAAGTAGTGCATAGCCAACCAGTCTATCTGCCTGCTAATTTCCCAACACACCAGTATATTTTGTTGAGGGTTGATGTGAAAATAAGAGGGAAACCATCACAATAATCTTCTATGAGTAGTCACGAAAGGTGACATAACATCAGTCATAATCAAAATCTTCCAATCAAACATCAACAGGGGTAGAAAAAATGTGATAAGATGGCAATCTGCTTAATATCTGAGATGCAGGTTTAAAATGACTTATATATGGTGTAATAATTTCATAGACTTCCATCTCGTGTACAGTTGATCATTTCTGACATAAGTTTATTTCCATGCTATCATGTTAAATAAATTGTTAAGATCTTCTCTCTTGGTCTTCCTATGCCTCTTTTCCCTTCCAACTTTCTCAACTTCAAAATATTCTCCAGTGTCTTATAACAATGCCAGAAGGTCAATTTTCTTTAAAAAATTACCATTATTTTTTAATATATCTAAAATGTCTGTGTTTTAATTGATTTATCTATAATCATCATCATCATCAAGTGCCTTGCCAGTTGGCATAGGTGTTCATGCATCTCCACAGATCTTGGTCTTTGGTGTTCTGGATCAATTCCACTGATGATATTCCTCCACGCCACTGTCATCAGCCATCCATCATCATTTCTCTTGGTCTGCCTCTTCTACCAGTGATCTCTCCAGCCATCACAATATTTTCCAGTGCTCCTTGTCTCATCACATGACGAAAGAACTTTGTCTCCTTTTCATTGTTGTACATAATGTTCTTCTTTCAGTAGCCATTTCCAGGCAATCCTTTATCTATGTACCAAGTTAATGTATGTCCTTGTAACCATTGTAAATTAAGCAATGACATAAATCAATAAGTATCTTTCAATTGATAAGCATCTTCTCTTTCAATTACGAAACAACTCAAAGTATGTTTCTTAGTCATTCCAAAATAGTATAATTTTCTTGCAGTTTTCTATTACAGACAGATACAATATTAACCCTTTGTTTCTGAATTATAAGTTTAATTCATGGTGTCTGCTGAACTTGATCTGCCTTAAGTATTTATTGCTTATAAGCTCGACTTCCTAAGACCGCCCTAAGGCAGAAGAGGTTAAAGAAATAGCTACTTGAGATGGAAAGTGTTAACAGTAAATAGGAAACATATTCTCTGCCATTTTTCAAGATCTCACAAGATTTTGCATTTATTTTATGTTTCTCAACTTCACCCAGTCTGATACCAACCTGGAATGTTTTGTAGAGCTCAGGCGAAGGGAACGGACTCAGAGGGTTCAAATCATGAAGAATCTCTGCTACGTAGAAATGCTGAGGCTGGTCAATATTGCGGTATGAAGGCATGACAACAGCATCCTTAAACTCATCAACACAAAACACAAATGGCTTCTCTGGGTTTTTCCTGCTGAAGCCAGCATGCTTCTTCATCTTCATGAAATGGATCACTTTGTCCACAAAAGTCCACTCTATTTCTAGCTTTCCTTTCCCTAAAGGAAACAGTAATAAAATAAAATAATCTAGTTATTAATCAAAATTGTATGAATTTAAAGAAAGTGAATTTCTAACACACAATATTTATGTATAAAAAATCAACAAAAATATTCTGAAAAACCTGTATTTTAACATAATATTTTCTTGTAAATTTAAATAATGCGGACACAAACAATACGTTGCACAATTTTTTGCCTGGCATACTTTACTTATTCTCATAACCCTCTCAAACTGGTTCTTCACATAATTAAGGGTAGATCTTGTTTCAAGATCAACCAAGAAGAGAGAACCTAATTCCTCCACAAGACATCATTTGTTTGAATCTGGGCACGTAGTTGTTAAGAACTGTGCCTTCAGAATTATTTATTCCACATTGAAGAGGCGATTGCTAAAACTAGCTGAGGCTGTTACATTAAACTGAACGCTCACGTGTCAGATTTTGAATTTCTGTTAGAGTGATGAATAGCCGAACTTGACAATATAATTAATTTTTTTATTTCAGCAAAAAGGATTAATTTGTATCCTTCATTATATGTTGAGTTAACTCTATAGTAATACACCTGATGAGATCAAGCATAATATGTCAAGCAATGAACTGCGCAATGTTTTGTTGGTGTCCACATTATTTAAACTTGTATTTTAAATAAAAAAGCAATGCAGCACGTGGTGAAATAATCGCAGAAAATCAATTATTTCAAGGCTATCAGGTTATGATAATGTCTTTGAACTATATTTACTGTGTAGGATAAGGGGGTCATGAGACTGAGGATTTAAGGTTCCATGGCTAGTGCAGCTGCCATGAATTGTACAGGTTAGAATGTTTATTTTTACTTCAGAAGAAAGAATAGTCTTTTCTTACCGAGGATTGACCTGTGTCTCTTGCGTGAAAACCCAGCAATGTAAAAGCCTGGCCAGGTTAAGATAAACAAGCACATTTCAGAAAAGCACTGAAGTGTAGAACAAACGACATAGAGAAGTACAAAATAACACTGAAACAAGATCTTCAGGGATGGAATGGAAATGGACAGGGAAAGCTCTGGCAATGAACAATTGTGCAAAATGATATGGTAATCTTCTTTGTGTTTCCCTGCTATAAACTCCAGCAGAAAGTTCAGGTTGTTCATCCATGCCTGGACTTTAATCTTGTTCTAGAAGTTGAGTTCTGTGTGCACATCTGTTTTGTGGATCTGGCTTATTTGTAAGCACTGTTAGTTCCTCATCTGTCAGGCAAATGCACTCCGACTTCAAAGGAAGCACCCCTAATTAGTCGACTTATACAAGTTTGTTGGGGGAAAGAAGATCTATTCTTTTTTGCCCTTGCAATGGGCCCCAGAATCCTCATGCGGTGATATAGTAATGAGATGAAAAAAGATGAAATAGTCTAAAATCAACAACAACAAAACAAAACAATAACAAAACATACACAAAAGGCAACAGATTACTGAAATATTACCTAAAACTTAATACCTAATATTAACTCAATATTCTTTACCATATAATGGGACAATGATCAGGCCACATTCAGCTTTCTGAGGATCAAATTCCATTGGGTCTTTTTCCAAATGGAGAACTCCGGAGAATACAAAATGATGGAACATCAGCAGCCTGGACACCTCCTCCTCAGACAAAATGAGATTATTCTGATACAAATCTATAGATACTGTGACCTCTCCTGACCTTGTGTACACAGGGAAGTTAGGAACCTGTTGATGATAGAGAAGTAAAATCAATATTGGTTTGCATCAAACAACAGTTACAAGCTAGATATGGTCAAGGCCCTCTGCCAGCAAGTGGACAATGCCGAAGCACAAATAGATCATTACAGTCTGGAGAGAATGGTTCACTAGGAAGTGACTAGGAAATCCTACTACTCTCATAGAAAAGGCCAGATGGATGTATTAACAAACTGCTACTTAACCATTGGCACTGGAACTCTTCACTGACTGCTGAAGATGGGGAAGGAGCACTTGTGGCAATGTCCTGCATGCTGTGACATTTTTGTTTATTCAACTAACATAATAATTACAACAATAAAACAGGAAGAAGCAAAGGTAATCATAACAAAGTCTAATAGCATATACTACTGGTAAGTTACATATGTTATGGTATTCCCAATCTATAATTCATTAGTTAGTAACCACTGTAATTTCCTGATACCAGTCCATAATCTGATAGTCAATAGATTTTCCATTCATTAGTTCACCAGTTACCTAGAGACTGATGTGTTTCCACATACTCGTTTTCTGTCTAGTGAATAACAGGTGTTCTATTCACTACTTACCTGTCTCCTGACTGACAGGTTTTCCATTCATTATTTCACTGTCTAATGACAGAAGGGTTTTCTATACATGTGTGCAATTGCAATGTCTGGTGACTGATGGGTGGGATTTCCATTCACTAGTTCAGTGTCTAGTGATGGGTGGGTTTTCCATTCACTAGTTCAGTGTCTAGTGATGAGTGGGTTTTCCATTCACTATTTGAATGTCTAGTGATGGGTGGGTTTTCCATTCACTATTTGAATGTCTAGTGATGGGTGGGTTTTCCATTCACTAGTTGAATGTCTAGTGATGGGTGGGTTTTCCATTCACTAGTTGAATGTCTAGTGATGGGTGGGTTTTCCATTCACTAGTTCACTGTCTAGTGATGAGTGGGTTTTCCATTCACTAGTTCACTGTCTAGTGATGAGTGGGTTTTCCATTCACTAGTTCAGTGTCTAGTGATGAGTGGGTTTTCCATTCACTAGTTCAATGTCTAGTGACTGATTGGTTTTTCCATTCACCAGTTTACTGTCCAGCGACAAATGAGTTTTCTATTCTCTTATTCAATTTCCAGTGATTTACTGGCTTTTCCATAAACTGGTTCACTGTCCGGTGATGAATGTGTTTCTATACATTAAACAAGCTCTCGATACCTAGTGTGAGGTTATCTCTTCTACCTGTGAAAGTGTACAACTCCTCCTACACAATAATTAACTGACACTACAATAAAATACACAAAGGTTCTACATTATTAACACTCAGGCTGAATTTCAGAACTGTATTTTCATTATTTAAAAGGGATACAGCAAGCAAGTGCAAAGTATAAGACAAACAAAATGAAATAAAATATATTCAGCAATATAAAGTTAGTTCTAAAAAAAGCTTTGTTAAAGTTAACTGTAGCAAGATCAATTCTGGCCAAGTAAAAGCAAATCACTGACTGAAAATGAGTAACAACGTTGGGGATAAAAGAAAATCATTGGTAGTCAAACCTTAACTTTAGGATCACAAAACAGTATTATATTTAAATTTCTTGAAATAACAAAACTCTTTACTGCCTGTGTGTAAGAAAAATTAAAGGACTCTTTTTCACGCCAGCCTGAACCCATAATCTTCAGATCAGCAAGCAAGCATTTAGCCGTTACACCACAGCGGTTTCCAGTTGCTATGCATGCAGTTTAGAATTTTATTTTTGACACCCATCAGAGAAAAAATCTCCATTGTTAACTTTCTTATTGACCTCTTTGGATGTCCAAAAAAGAGTACTAAAATGTTATGTAGAACCTATACGGTGGTGAATCATGGAATGTGAATGCCCAAATTAGAAAGACCTTGGAGGCAAAGGAGATGGTTTTTCAGACCTATTTTAAGAAACCCTTGGACTGCTAAAGTAATAATAAGGATTAGTTAGTTAGTTAGTTAGTTAGTTAGTTAGTTAGTTGGGTTATCATCATTGCACTCCGGACATGTCCATAGGTGCTCAGATCCTCCCCTCAGTATGAACCCCAATGTCCGATGGCTAATAGTACCAGTTCTATGTTGATTAACAAGTCTTCTGACGTGTCCGGTGTGCGTCTCGTTTTTTGCTGTGCCGATATTAATTCCCAAGTCTGCCATTCTGGCGAGTGATGTGGATTCACCGCCACCAAAGTCCTCTATCCTTCCCATTTCTCTGAGGGCATTGATTATATCAGCATGATCCATAGGCCGACCGTCGGTAGTGATAGCGGATCCAGCCAACCTGTCAGCTCTTTCATTTCCATCGATGCCTGCGTGTCCCGGAACAAAAATAAAGGTGACTCCACGCACAGTGGACTTCTGAATTGATTCAAGCCATTGTCTTCGCACTGAACCTGCCTGAACCCTCCGGATCATACTCATTGAATCACTGAGTATACATATGCGGGTGTATTTTTGTGTTTCAAGCCAGGCAAGCGCTTGCGTCACTGCCATCACCTCCATCGTCATGCTGCTGGTTGTCATGGAGAAGGCACCGTTGGCTTCTTTGACTGTTCTGCCCGCTGAGCGTGCTGTAAATGCCCATGCGCTTCTTCTTTGGCGTATAACGGATCCGTCTGTATAGATTATTGCATCTGCTTCGTCTGAATTTTCACCGATGAGAGCGTTGACCTCTGCATTAACAGCAACAGGATTCTCTTCTCTACATCGCCTGTTGAGTGTGACAATACAGGAAAATGTACAAATAAACGCCTGAGGCACAGGTATCCATTCTGCATCAGGTATGATGTCGGTTATGCTGCATATTTGCCTAATAACATCTTCTGCCCGACCTAGCCACGATTTTCCCCTCTTCAGTCTGTCGCCCTTTTTACTAAAAAGCGCTTGATGCAGTGGGTGTTTCTTATCAGCACATATTTTGAGGTATGCCCGAGCCCTCCACATCCTGATCCTTTGGTTCATTGTTGGAAAGTCAAGTAGATACCTTATTGCTCCACAGGATGTGTCTCTTGTACATCCCAAAATAATGCGCATGGCTTCATTTTGCACCTTTTCGAGTCGTTCAATCTGGGTAGCACTGACAGTGAGGATGGCCAGAGCGTATTCAATGGGTGAAAGGACCAGACCGTAGAATAGAAGTATTAGTAGTCTTTGCTCGATATTGGAAGCAGCCATAATCCTCATTGCAGATAGACCTTTGCGTGCTTTTGTTATCACATGGTCAACGTGTTCCCTGAATGACAAGCTGCTATCGAACCTCACCCCGAGAAACGTCATAATGTTGGTTCTGATCAATACATTATCACGCATTTTCACTTCAAAGAGAACCATGACACTGATGCCTTCGAAGGATTGACATAGGCATTGGAACCATCACACCAGGCGGCAATTCGATCCGAGTTCTTTGTGCATTGTGCTGGCGATCTCCTGTCTATCACGCCCTCGTCGATAAATCAAAATGTCATCAGCAAATGACAAAGTCCTTCCCTTTCCATTCAACTGCTGCTCAGTGATCATCACCGTATAAACGTTGAATAAGACTGGTGATGGCGGTGATCCCTGTGGCAAGCCTGGACATATCGTTTGCGGTTCTGAGGACCAGCTACCACATCTTAGTACAATCTTTCTCTGGAACAGGACCGCAGCAATCCAGCGGATCAGAATAGGATTGACTTCTAGTTTACATTAAATAATCATATGGTACTTTATTGTAGGCATCTTCTAAGTCCAACACTGCCGCACATGTCTCTTCTTTAATCTGAAATCCCTCGTACACATCGTAGGCGAAAACTGCAGCATTGAACCATGTCTCTTTCTTCAACCTGTACCCTCCAAGTGTTGATGGGAACTTATCATGTAGTTCCAAGTAGGTGGTCAATCTTTGTGCGACAATTTTTTCCAAAAGTTTGCCAACAGTATTCTGCATCGAGATGATTCTGTAGCCGCAGATCTTTGAGTGGTCTTTATTAGGCTTTGGTAGTGGGAACAAATAACTATGGAGCCATTCCTCTTGTATCTGGCCACTCTGGATGCTGATATTGAATTCCTTTGCCACGCTTTTCAAATCAGCATTCGACATCATCAGCATGTCATTGTATCGGATGCCGTCAGGGCCTGGAGCAGTGCTGCGCGATTTCTTGAGGCAAGTTCTTACACTAGGGCATCCTCCAGGTCTTCCCCCTGTTTATTGGTGATTACATTGCCCCACTGGTTTCCTCTGGCGTTGAAATCTCCGCAGTAAAGGACTTTCTTTTCCTCCGTCTGGAGCAAACTCTGCCATTTCGCTGTATCCACCTTTCCATTGCAGGCGTACACATTGAAAATCACAAACTGGGCCGGGCCCAACACTCTGACTGCGTGTACATGTAGGTCGTCATTATCCCACTCAGACATGTCCACCTCAGACACTAGTATGTGGTCACGAACAAGAATGAGCTGTCCGAGGTGCCGTCTATTGTAGAAGGATTGGAAGCCCGCAATTTTAACGATCTCGTCAATGTCGTTGCTGTAAAGGAGCTTCTCGAAAATGGGTCGGTGTTGACTGAACGAAGCGCAGTTCCAGTAGAGAACGCGAACATATTTTAAGCGGAGTCTCTCACATTTTAGTCGCTTCCTGCAGGCGCCACCGTGCTTGCCTGTTCGTGTTCTCCTTGTCCGTCTACGGGTTGTTTTGAATTGGTAAATAGTCGCCATCGGACGTTGAATACACCCTGAGGGAAGTCTGAACTCACATGCATGTACTCCATTGCATGGTTCAGACCCCATTCCGATGAAACTTTCACATTATACGTGAGCGAAAATAGTTAATTTGCGCCATTCGCCTCAACGGACGAAAAAGCGTACCGCCATTGTGGCTGTTTACACCGGAAGTCCAATAACGAGGATTGCTTGAAGGAAGCTATTGAAAGCAGATCAATATATACAGCTATAAGGAAAAGGCAGGGACTGTTCTTTGGTCATGTGATGAGGGAGAGGGGAGGCTATGGAGAATGTTGTAATGACTGGGAAGATCAACAGTAGAAGAGGAAGAGGCAGACCAAGAGAGATGATGATGGATGGACTGCGAGGATGACATAGAGGGATATTATCGGTGGAAGTGATCCAGAGAACAAGGGACACAGATCTGTGGAGACGCATGAATGCCTACGCCAGTCGGCAGGGCACGTGATGATGATGATTTACCTCTTTGATACAAAACTGGGTTCAGATATAACAAATTTAGTTTCTCCATGTAACCACACCAAACTAACTGTATAAAAGTACCTGAGGGATTGGCTTAGATAAAAGAATGCCCAGCCTCTGCATGGTATCCTCTGGAGCATAGATAACTCTGCCTCTGGTGTTCTGTTCATCAGTTATTGGTCCTGTCAGTTGTAGATTAATCAAATAAAGATAGCAGGGTTCCCCTGGTTTCGGCAGACTCTGGACAACAGCATCTGCAACCTGAGGCATTTTCAGGTGATTAAAATACCAGCGACTGTAAAATTTTTGTAACATTCAGCTTTACCTTACTGTTCAAACTCATGGACATTGATATGTAAAAAAAATTTTTTTTTAGCAAAAAAGAGGAGCAGAGTAAGGAAACAAGTAACAATATTTTAACTGCCATGAGACAATGAATTTTGTGTCTTCTGTCTCTATAAGTCCATGCCTGTGTGTTGTATGTATATGTATGTATGTGTGTGTGTGTGTGTGTCTTATGTCTGTGTACTTGCTGTATCTGTATGTGTATGCTATCTTTGTGTGCCAGTTTTATGGGTTGTGTCTGTATGTGCCTGTTTTTGTGTTGTGTGTGAGCATGCCTGTCAGTGTGTTCTCGGTGTTATGCTTGTCTGTGTGATTGTGTGTGTTAATGTGCCATGAATGTGTCTGTCTTTGTGTGTCGTGTCTATATGTGTGTGTGTCCATGTGTGCCATGTCAGTGTGTTTGCGTATGTGTGTTTTGTGTCTGGTCAGTGTACGTAGATTTGAAGATATACATTTGATATCCATGCTTTCATGTTATTACTTAATATATTCATACTATGAACAACATAATAACTAGTGGAAAACACAATAACTAATGAAAAAAAACTACATTAAAGCAGACAAAAGATGTATACAAGTCTCTTAATAAAGAGCGGAGCTAAGCATTCCTGCATTTAAGCAGAACACTGATTACTGCCCAGACTTTTTTTAAAAAAATCCCTAGCACCCTGCCTGTCTGCTGTCTGGTAAATATCTCTCACTCCAAGTTTTTTCTTCCTTAAAAAAAAACCTTTTAAAAAACGGTCATTTCTATAGGACATTATCAACATATTTATTCAGAAGAAATCTGTACATGTGCAAATGATCCACAACAGTATGTGTGAACAAATGAATAAAGCTTGCAAATAAACTTTCTCTCTGAAGCAAAACCACTATTTGGATGCTGTTGCAAAGCCATCCCTCTCATCTCCAAGCTCAGAAATCAGCAGGATGGGCAAGATCACCCCCTCCCCCTCCCAAGTGGAGCTTCATATTGGTCAAGAGGTATATTAAGATATAACCAGGATGTGACTCAGCACATCCCACACAGATTAACTGAGATATAGCCTAGGCTGGTAATATTTCCTCCATTCCTTGCTATTTGATTGTCAACATCCTCCACTAAATAAAATATTGAAAGTGAAAATGTACAATGATAATTTTGGACAAATAGTTGTTGGTTCCTCCATGTGGATGTGAGGCCCCATTCTGGTGGGGAACAAGAACAGACCCACTTCACCTCCTGACAAGCATGTTATAAAAGGTGACTATTTATTTAGGGTGTTTTTCTTCAAAGTTGGGCTACACCTGCCTAAGAGATGAGGAACCAACATTGTGAATGATGTAAGCCAGATCTGTAAAACAGATGTGCATGCAAAACTCAAGACTGGGAACAAAACTTAAGTCTAGAAACAGATGAACAACCAGAACTTTCCGCTGGAGAATACAGACAGCAAACGCAAAGAAAGTTTTTGGGATGTGAATACAAAACTGATACCAACCTTCTTAACATAGTACTGCTTCCTTTTTGTGGTGCCAGGTCTGGCCAGCCCTGTTAAATCCTCCTCGTCAGCCCATTCTTCTTCTTCTTCATAGAGAAACATCTCTTTCCCCACAGGAACCAGATTCTCGTCCAGTTCACCTACATGATTCCCATAATTATACTGTTGTCAAGTGTCAAGAATTGTGAAAGAGTAGAATAATAATGGTATAAGTGACTATCATTGACCAAAAAAATCTGTAGTAACTGTCATTACTGTCTGCATTTATTAATTTTTGTAGCAGTGTCATAACACTGGTACAAATAGATAATACACATTTTCCTCAACTGACGAAATAAAATTAGAGTATATATGTATTTTTCATATTCTGCATAGATTGAATATCTGTATTTTATGTACAAAACAGTGCTGGAAAAAAATCAACTTACGCCTGCTGGTATGAACAGACCTAGATCGTAAGCCAAGGAGACCATGCAGTATGAACTTCATATGACCAAAGAAAACAGATTACAAGGAAAAAAAGCAAAGGCTGAAAGGCTTCTTTTCTTCTCAATGCTACCACAACAACAATATTAATATTCAAGTGAAAACACCATTGAGCAAATTATTTAATGATCATAATCAAGCTTTGCAAAATGTTCAAACTACCTAGACATGAATCAAGAGCACAATGGTTAATGCAATTCCTTACCAATAAAGCAATCCGGGCTAAATTTCTAGCAGTGATGGAATTTTCCTTGCTGAACTTAGCAGCACAGTTTTCCTCTTAGAAGGGAATTATCTCTGCCACTGCTGGTCCCAAGCCCAACTGAGAAAGGAGAAGGGCTGTGAGTGCAGTTAGTTTCACAACGCCGTAAAAATTACATGTTATGAAGAGAAGGAAACTGGAAAGTGTTGTGACCCCTGGAAAGAACTGTGGAAAAGTGACAGAAGAAGACAATGCAAGACAATTCTTGACAGCCTGTTGTCATGGTATGGAGAAGTGTCAACACACAAACTGATACATGTTGCTGAATATAGCAGACTGTGGAGAGGCATGATCGCCTATGGTGTTTGACAAGGCACTTGATGATGATGGAAAGTAAAGATGGCGGGTAAGGAAACTGTAACCACTATTTCATTATCTAAGACTCAGAATTAGTGAAGTTCTAACACAACCTAAAATTTATGGCCAAATATGGAGGACAGGCGTGGCAGAATGATTTGTTTCGGGGTTATTTTTGCTCCTGACAGTGGTTTTGCTGCCTAAACTATTGTTAAGTGCTTGGTGCAGCACTGTGAGCTGTGGTTTTTTTTTTTCTTCCCCCCCCCCCCCATTAAATATTGAATGCCTTTTATTTGTGCAGCAGTTGTGTCGTGGTATTCAGTACGATGGAAAGCCGGCCTACATATGGGATGGTGAAATACCTTAATTATTTTCCATGTGTTCGGCCAAGTTATCGTGATTGACTATTTCTATCAACGCAAAAAACTGAATTTCTGGTGCTGGCAATGGTGCCACTAGCAACTTTCTATGCACTTACTGCATGCACATATTTCTGGATTGCGCCAGGAGTCATTGTTTGTTCACCAACTTTTCAGTGGAACAGTGAGGCATAATTACGGGGTGACCAGACTGCAGTGAAGTTCAATCCTCAACTACTATCGCTACTACTAAAGTACCTACTGGCAGTATTTGTCACTGGGCCACCTTTAACTTTATCCTTGTTAAATGGCCAATAATGCACAAGAAACAGTTGTAATACAAACAAATCGACTACCTGATTTATGTAGGAGGGCACACATTTTTAGTGCCACCGCCATCTTGGCAAGCTTTTTTGTTCTCATTGCAGGACCCTTCAGAATTAAATTTAAAAAAACAGTAACTGATTTAACTGGAGAGAAAATAAAACTATGAAAAGAAAACTATTATAAATACAGCATTTATAACTAATGAATGGAAAATAGTTTAAAAAAACAGAATCTTTGCACATATCAAAGTTGCAAACAGTGGGGAAAGAAGAGTGAGAAGCAACATTGAAATTTACAATTTGTTTAAATTACCACTGATCACTGGCATCATGAGAGCTAATAGACTCATATGACTGGGGTATATCAAGAGAATGTCAGATGACAGAGGCAAAAACTGTGTTCACAAGGAAGTTGAATAGTCGTAGACCATGAGGCAGACCAAGAAGAGGGACCTACAAACACTTGGTGTCACCAACTGTAAAGAGAAGATCAACAAGAGAAAGGAATGGAGGCGGGTGATATCTGCAGCAATGACCTCAAGGGCTCAGAATGCTGAAGAAAGAAAGGAAGGAAGGAAGGAAGGCAGGCAGAAAGGAAGGAAGGAGAAGAAGAAGGTGAAGATGAAGAAGAAGCAGCAGCAGCAGAAGAGGTAGAGGAAGAAGAAGAGGAGGGAGGAGGAGGAGAAGACGTTACTTCAGCATTCTTCTGTAGAAGTACATTTTGTTTTTTGCTTGATAACTAACTGTCCAGGATTAGCAGCTATATTCTGAAACTCTGCTATGTACCTCTCTGCCGCTAATCGATTTAGTTTTGTTTTTCAAAGGTGTAGACACATCTTTAGAAATGCATACAGTACAGAAATGCAGACAGTAAGAACATGAAATTAACTCAGATTATGTTCATGTATTATTTTATTACATAAATGCCGTAATAAGAAAAACGTACCTTCAGCTCTGCTTTGATTGGTGAATTGATTGGCAAGCGAAGAAAGGCAACATAAAGTCCAGGGTCACCTGCTAATTTCTCCAGCCTGCACTGTGGGGTCAGGTGGGTGAACGCATCACTGGGAAGTTTGGCACAGTATCTGCAGCAACATTGTCAATACAATAAATTGTACAAGCAGCTGCATACACAGTGAAATTTTTTAAAACTAAATGGATGTAACAATTCCCACCAGTCCTCATTAGCACCCTTCTGTATTTCTGGAGGATAGGGTTATACTGTAAACGAATAAATCATTAATGAATAAATCAAGAGCTGACATCACTGCATTCAGGACATTCCCAGATGTGCCCCGTCTGCCTCCTCAGAAGCCAAAGAGTTGATATGATGATAACAGTACCTCTTGCACCTTATTAAAAAAGTCTCTGTTTCCCTTTCAGTGCTGAATATCTTCTAGAACTTCTAGTCATCCCCCTCCCTTTCCTCAATGTCAGTTGCAGTCAATCTCCTTACATGTCATATTTCTGACTTGTCTATAGTGATCTGTTTATGAAATATATTAGTAAGACCATTGCCATTGTTCTATCTTTTGACTAATCTATCTTTAGGACCCTACTTGACCACCTTTACTTCTTGCTTTCACCAAAAAGCAGTACATATGAAATATTGATTTATCAAGCAAACACTGAATTATATCATTATACCTATTAATGAGTGCAATGGCACCATGTATTGTGACCTGGGGTGAAGTAGGAGAGCCTGGAACTGTGCAGTAAGGAGGCAAAAGATTTCCCTCATCCACATCATCCTCGTCATCATTACTGTCCTCATCACTTATATCTTCCTTATCTGTTCTGTAAGTTATGGTCTGCTTAAAGGTTCTTTCGCCCAGAAGCACCTGTACAAATAAACAAATGAAACAATCTGTCGCTGTTAGTACACTAACAAAATTAAACTACTAATACAGGTTTTATATAAATACACCTTGTCTGTGACTTACACACTAACAAATATTTATTTATGAATTTTTGCTTAAAAAATGCACCAGGGCTCATTCTCGTGGGATGTCTTTTTTTCCCCAAATATAAAATTCTAGTTATTCATGCACAAAATTCAGCCATGTCATCTTCTTCCGAAACATCATCCTAATTCTTCATAATTGAACCATACCCGTTCATTATCATGTGCGCACAACTGATGATCTTAACTAGGGCGGATTTTTGGGATAGGGCTTACATTAAAAGAATCCTGAAAATCAAGATGGGGCTTATTTTTGGGGTAGGTCTCATCTTCTGGAAACGCGATAGCACAGGACATGAACTCTATAAAACCACAGAGGATAAAGATGTGTGCACATGTTTTTTAAAAAGAATGCTATATTAATATGTGGGTAGATTTTCTCCTTAGTCGCAATTCCAACTTCACGGTAAACTGGTCACACCACACTGCTCTCTTCCTGTGTCAGCAAAAACCACAGAAACAAATAACATGCCAAAACTTTAACTGCAACCCACTATACACCATATAGGATCAGAAGCTCTGGCAGGTTTTTTTCAGTTTGGTGTTTAATCCAGGCTACAGACTATTTATTCTGCTCTTCTCAATTTTTAATTGTAAATGAATATTTAATGTAAGCAAGGTTGCCCCTCTCCCACTTTTTCAAGAAAGCGTATCTGATTCCCCCAGAACATTAATCGGGAGAAATGTAATAATAGTAGAATCAAATTAATCAATCAGGTGCTATACCTAAAGTGAAGGTAGGCTGCAATGTATCTTCAACATAGACCACTGTTTACCCATCTCCTGATGTTGTCCTCACACTTGTATCATTGTCTAAATTTTTCTAATTTTGACTCTAGTAGAGTATTTTAAAAAGTGTTATGGCTTTTAATGTGGCCAGAATATTTCCTGTCTCTTTTTCTTTATTTTCATTTCATTCAGAAATTATCTTTTCATTCTCAGCCTCCCAAGAACCTCTGTATTGATTTTGACTAGAATATTCTTCATATTGTGATCACATAGATAAAAATATTAAGAGTAACGACAAGCAAAATACCAAGTGTTCATTGGTCGTGTGAAGGAAGGCATCAGAGAATGTTGTAAGGACTGGGCAGATTAGCAGCACAAATAACACAGACTGAGAGATATGATGTTAGAAGGTCTAAGAGACGATAGCATGGAGAAATATAATCCAGGGTGTTCCATAAGTTTCCAATCATAGGAAAAAACATACTTTATGAAAACCACTTTTATTAATATACATATATATGCTCTACACGACTACTACTGTTTTGAAAATACATTTCAAAGGGTGTCCTCCACTGCTGAAGAACAAGTATGAGCACAGCTGGAGTTATGCTTGTTAACCACTCCGGTGATTTGTTCTTTGTTTGATATGTGTGGAAACTTATGGGGTAGAACGCTAAAACCAAGATCTGTAGAGAGACCAGAAATCCTTTAACACTGCACTTGATGAATGCTGCCGAGCTGTCTACACTTATCAGCAAGAAAATAGATTAAGGCGTAGCAATCCTACATATGGCAGTTTCCCCTGTGGAATGACCTCGATACATATCCCACACATGTACATACCTGTTCAATGCCCTTGAAGACCCTCAGGTTAGATTCAAACTGTTCATAGTTCTGCTGATCCAGGAGGATGACATATGAGGCATCTCTTGCCCGAGCCCTACCCTGTAAATAAAGGTTGTTCAATAAACTACTAGATTTCATATCATTATCCATTTTGTGCAGAGTACATGTGAATAGTATGGATACATAATTAAGATCTAACGGCCTCTCAAAAACAAATACTATACGGTTAAGTAGAAGGAAAGAAGGAGAAGCGGCAGACCAAGAAAGACCTGAATACAGATTTTGACTGACTGGACAGGCCAAGCCTTAGGCATGCAACTATGAAGTCCATCGCATCTGACTGTCAAAGGTGGAGACAGCTGATCAGACAGTCAACATCCACTTGTGACCCAACGACATGCAGTTTTATGGGATGATGACTGATAGACTGGCATGTGAATTTGCCTGCACCAGCTGAAGACACAATTAGACATGTGTGCAGGCATGATAAATTTGGGTGAGGAGGAGTGGACCAAAGTTTCCAAGCATGTTTCCGACTTGTGTAGCATTCTAAACATCTATAAGTGTTCACTGATTTCAAAAAGGCTTTGACAGAGTATGGCATGCAACACTCTGGGACACTATGAAAAAGTACAACATGGGTAAAACCCTCATACATAGTACAAAACGGCTTTATGCCAAGGCCAGCAGTGCTGTCACCCTGAACAGACAAATAGGGAGCTGGAATTATGACTAAAGCCCTAGAACAACATCATGGAACAGTTAGTATAGGAGATCGAACTATAACAAACTTAAGCTTTGCAGATGACATTGATGGAACGGTTGGGGGAAGAACAAGAACTATTCAAGTTTGTAAATCTGTTCAATGAAACATCAACCAAGTTTGGCATGGAAATAAATGCAGAAAAAACTAAAATAATGACTAACAAGCCAGTTGGCATAACTTCACCAATGTACGTTAATAGTCACAAATTAGAATAAGTCAATCATTTCAAATACTTAGGAACATTTTAAGTGACCTGTGGTCAAGATCAGAAATCATGTCTAGGATTGCCCAGACAACATCAGTCCTTGCCAAGCAGCAAACATTATGGACATCCAAAAACATTTCATGCAAAACTAAGATTCAGAGTACTAGCTATTAATACATTTACATATGACTGTGAAAAGTGAACCTTAACAGCTGAACAAGAAAGGAAGATACAAGCATTGGAAATGTAATGTTTCAGACAAATTCTTGGCATATCATACAGAGACCACATTACAAACGAAGGGGCTCACCATATAATTATACACAGGCAACTATAAACCTCTTTTAACTGCAGTAAAAAGGCGAAAATGCAATGGTATGGACATGTAATAAGATATAAGGGTCTCTCAAAAACAATACTGCATGGCTCAGTAGAGGGAAAGAGAAGAGGCTGACCAAGAAAAACATGGCTGCAGAACCTGACTGACTGGACAGGCCTCAGGCATGCAACCATGAAGTCCACTGCAAATGACTGCTTAAGGTGGAGACAACTGATCAGTCAACAGAAAATGGTGACCAAACGACACACAGTGTTACG